TCTATCTATCTATCTATCTATCTATCTATCTATCTATCTATCTATCTATCTATCTATCTATCTTATCTATGTCTTGTTAATGTACCAGGAATGGCACTTGTAAAACAGTGACAGAATAAAAGAAAAACATGGCCATATTTGTTGGGCAGTGAATCATGGAAAGAAGGCAATTTAAAGAAAATAAGAAGACTTTTCTTTATTCTCAAAGCAAATACTCCTAGAAAAATGATGCCCAATGTCAACAGTTTTCTTTTGCAGATGAACATGTTTGAAAACATATGTGGACTTCATATTAGATTTTTTTCCCAGTAGACAGAGATAAGATTTTGAAATTAAATTGAATCAAGATTACCTTTGATGTTATGAAAGGGCATCAGATTCATGCGCCTCACTTCCAGAAACTCCTGTAAAATGGCACCTTTGCTGCCATATAAGCTGACATTTTGGAGCCCCTATTTGGAGGTATACAGATGATGAATGTATTCATCATGTTTTAAAATTATATAACTGCTTGGCTAAAAGAAACCTGCTGAAATGTACAAGATTCAAGCAATTATGAAGAATCCCTTCCCTGTGATAGCAGCAAGACTCCAATTGAGTTAAGTTTAGGACAAGTTTAGTTAAAATGAAGTCATTGTTTATACCAGGCACATTTTCTGGCTTGTTAAAATGGAACAAATAAAATATGTGATAGAACATTTGTTTTGGTGACCTGCTTATGTGGTTGATTGTATGATTGGCCACAACTGAGAATAGATCACTGGATTAGCTCACCTTTAGTTTGATCCAGTAAAGTTGTTTTTATTCTTATTATTTGAGAAATACATTTGTTTAAAAAAAACCAGAATGCAAGAAAGTTTAAAACACTATCTTTTCTTAATAGATGTTTTTAGCAACATATTTATCTTGTTCTCCATCTTCCTTTACACATTGTTGGGTTATGAACTAGATTTACAAGTGTCTCTAGAGTATTAAGCTGAAGTGGATGAAATATTTAGGAAATGCTCCTTCATTGTTTTATTTGACATGAACACACTGGGTCAATTTTCATCATGAAACACTGTGTTATGTAGACATTATTCATTCACATGCTGATCAGCAGTAGTACTTGAATGTCAGATTAGAATTCAGTCAACTAAAACTTTTTGTCTGCTATGAAGTTTCTGTTACTTCAGTTCATTGGAAATTCTAGTTAAATTAAATATTAGCACAGCTCAACAGTGTTTCACCTACATGTGGTTTCTAAAATAGTAGACCTCAACTTATTGTAAATTAAACACAATTATATGGGTGGGTCATCAAGGAGAAGAACATGCAACACAAAATACTTAAACAGTTTGGAAAGCTAGCACTGGCCATTTTTGTTCTGACATGGTTTTTATAGATAGTTAGTGAAATTAGCTATTTTGGATTATGTCCCAAAAAACTCAACATCAATGCTTCATTATCTGAAGCTTAGCTTCAAAAGTAAGTGTGTGAAAAATTATGTATTCATTCTAAATTTAGCAATAGCATTTAGACTTATATACCACTTCACAGTGTTTTACAGCCCTCTAAGTGATTTACTGAGTCAGTATATTGCCCCCAACAATATGGGCCCTCATTTTACCCACCTTGGAAGGATGTAAGGCTGAGTCAGTCTTGAGCCTGGTGAGATTCAACTGCAGGCACCCTGCAGGCAGCAGAAGTAGCCTGCAGTAACCACTCTGGCCACTGTGCCATGGTGGCTCTTTAAATTTAAATATCAAAATTGTGTTATTGCACTTTAATACATTGCCACCTCCATATACAGTTATGATTCTAATGGATGCCTAACACGATAATGGTGTGTGTGTGTGTGTGTGTGTGTGTGTGTGTGTGTGTGTGTGTGTCTATATATCTATATATCTATATCTATATATCTCTATCTCTATATCATCTCTCTCTCTCTCTCTTTCTCTCTCTCTCTCTCTT